CAAATATATTGTATCACTGTGTAGGCCAAGTTCAACAAGAGGAATTCCAGATCCCAGATGTACTTCTCATATATGCTACATGTTTTCCATACAATTTGATGGACTTTGCAGATGAGCTGCCCTCTTGCTGATATCTGGGGGTTGTCCTTGGCCGTGTTGAGGTATGTTAGCCAGCCGTTAATGGCTTTTAAAGACCTCTGGATTTGCAGCTTCTGAACAAAATTTGGCTTGGATGCTCCCTCCAATGGACATAGAAATGGGTGTAGGCAGCGAATGGCTTTATGGACTTTCCAAGTTATGTGAGACATGAATGGAAACAAATTGAAATGTCAATAGGAGCTAGACTGTAACTGAAGGCTAAACACTACTAGCAACTGAGGTAATGTCTCAAAGCACACATAGGGTTGTCTTTCCACCCAATTAAAGAAGAATTGTTGTTAAAGATGTTGTTTTAATGAAGAGCTAAAATCAGTAAATGAAGTCAATTAACAATTTCACCTACTTACCTCCAAGTGCGAGAGGAGCATATAAGCTCCACCATCATTACACTCTTTATGTGCAAACTTATTTCTGCTGTCACATGCCGAGTAAGAGAAGTGACCACATATCTCCAAATATATCCTGAGACTGATTAAAATAGTGACACCACAGTAATACTGCAAGGAAAGTAACAAAAGTAAAAGTTATACAAAGACCAAAGTCTATGAAGTGTAACCTGTCCTTAATTTAAAGTATAAGCAATCACTAACAGTAAATATCTCTTATCTGCTACTTCTTGGTCTGTTAAATACACCATTAAAAGAGTTTTGTTTTTTCTTGTTGATAAACCCATAAAAAATACCCGTTGATTATGTCAGAAATGTACAGCTGTCCTGCGCACACTTCCTGTGTTATCGTAAGGAGACTAATTTTTTCATCTCTGGACCACAGAATAATTATTGTTTATGTTGTACAAGTAATGTGGCTAGTTTACATACAAATATTCATTATTATAAAATCCCATTTGACCTAAGACAAAATTTTCCTTTAACAGCTTACTGAATTAGCATAGAAAATAAGTGAAGAAAACAAGAATTACCAGCCATATAGTTAAGTGCTGATAGATTAATTTTCCATTAACTGCAATGTAAGGATCTCAAGGGAGTTCATTTAAAAGGTCTAGAGTGTCAGTATATATATTTGCCCTTTTATTAATAGATCAAGGCAATTTATTCTTAATGTCACGTGTATGGGTTGAATTTAAAATATATTTAAATATGAACGGCTAGGATAATGTTATTTGCAGTGCGTGGGTGGAAATGTATATCCTGCAACTACCAAATAATATGGAAGAGAGTGTCTGTGTGCTGAAAAACAGCTACATTAAACCTTTCAGCAAATACCTTGGTCAACCAGGGCCCAAGAGACAGTGTTTTGTTTCCAAATCTGCACCAAGACCCTGGGAACACAGCAAAAGGATAGGTTTCTGCAGAATCAATTAGAGACAAATAATCTGATATTTTGTGCAAGAAAACAAGACTCTTAAATCTGTAGCATACAGGATATCGATCATGTCCTAAACAAAGCCTTGGAAAAAAATGTTACTAATTAAAGAATTAAATATTTACGGAGAATGTTGTGTCCTGAAAGCATTACATTTATATAGTGTCAATTTCTAATTTCTGGGGACAGTGCCAATGTTGACTAACTGCACAATGAAAGCTTGTTTCTGTAGTTTT